GGCAGATTGGAGCCTGACTCCTGTCTCCTCGCTTGATGGCCTGGCAATAAACTGCAGCAAACCCTTCTCTCTAAAAAACCCAGTGCTTCAGTGTTTGGCTTCTGTTACCTGTCGGCATATGGACCCAGTTTGATTGGTAACAGTAGCTGTCACCGTATCACAGTCTACTGACATCCAATACACTGAAGATAAAAAGAGGATTCTGGAGTCTCTGCCCTTCTCGTTACTGGTGACACCAGCACTTCTTGTGTGGGGTGACAGCAGAGACACAGACTGGACCCGGGCAGGCTGAGAGATGAACGGAGCAGAGTAAGGGGTATGGCAAGCCTTCCAGAAGGGACTATGAAACTGGAAATCATCAGGAGAGGAACACCGAGCAACAGAATGAGCATAGGATGCAAAAATTGCGAATGTGCTGAAGCATATTTGTAATTCAGGAGGAAGAATATGCAGAGAGCAGGTACAATGTGGGCCTTGACACAAAGTCCCGCAAACTTTGAAATAAAAATCCTTTGTATGCCTGACCTTCAGGTGTTATACTATCAAAGGACAAAAGCATTACGCCCTTTAAAAAAAGAAAATATATTAGAGAATTACCAAAGATATGGCCACCCAGAGTTCTTGATCTGGAAAAAGGTGAGTTATACATTAAAAGTAAGCAATCAGGCAATATTCCCTGTATCTAAGAGACAGAGAAAAACACATGCTTAAAGGTTTCTACGCGAGTACAAAATAAGTCATTTTCTCATGAAACTTTCGATGTGCTTCCTTTCTTAAAAAAAGGTAAAATTTGTTCTTTCAAAGTCCAGGGAAAGTTTAGACCTGAGAAAAACTGAGTTGGGGCTGGTGAAGGAAGTGGGTGCTGGTGAAAATTGATGGTTAGGCTTTCGTAAAAGCCAGGCATGGCAGAAGACAGAAAGAATGGATGGAGCGGAGGGGCTCACGTGACAACTGTTCTAAAGTGTCCACACAGAGTGTCCATGGGCTGAGTGCATCAGGTGTACCTGAGAACATGAAATCTCGACATTAGTAAATATTTCAATATGTAAAAGGGCTTGTGACGGGAAGACCGTGCTTACCAAAGGAATATACTTTTTTTCCTCTGAAACTTGAAACAACAAATACAAATAAAGCATAAAAAAGATGCTTTGAAGAATGCAAACGCATCAGGATTGTACTTGGGAAGCCAACTTTTCTCTGTTTAGGAACAAACTCACTAATTCCAAAACATCGTATGTTAATTAGGGGATCTTAGGCAACAAATTGCATGACATTTCTCATGATGGATGAAGAACACAAATATTCTGAAGACCAAAATCGCATAAACACGATGAGGTAACATCCTGTCCACTTTCTGGCTGCATAGCTAGAGAGGGCGCAGATGGGGGAAGCTCGGAGACCACACAGTCAGCCCTGCAGACGGGGCTGTTTGCAGGAAAGCACGCATCCTCTGGGGGTTGCAGCATTCTGTCTGCTGCTGAACGCAGGTCTGGACGTCTCTGCACACTCTCTGCTCACCTGTGTGCACGGTAAGCACACCATGTCAGCCTCTTCATAGAAGCTTTAGTTTGTATTGTTTCAGTTTTATTATTTCTCCAATGAGAATGATATTCTGTCTTAAAGATAACCATAATTTATTCTCCAAATAATTCTGGGTTCAGTTCCTCTTGTTTCTCGTTATCAAATGGTGTGTACAGAATTATAGATGTATCTTAACACTGAGGTACTCTGATGCAAAATGTGTATTTGAATGACATGTGAGGAAAACAGTCATTCACTCAACCACTCCTGAGTTCATCCTTTTTTTTGAGTCGGGGTCTCACTCTGTCACCCAGGTTGGAGTGCAGTGGCACAGTCACAGCTCACTGCAGCCTCCACCTCCTAGGCTTAGGAGATCATCTGGCCTCAGCCTCTCAAGTAGCTGGGACTACAGGCACATACCACCACATCTGGCATATTTTTAGATTTTTTTTGTAAAGGTGAAGTCTTGCTGTGTTGTCAAGGCTGGTCTTGAACTTCTGGGCTAAAGCGGTCCTCTCGCCTTGGCCTCCCAGAGTGCTAGGATTACAGGTGTGAACCACCATGCCTGGCTTCATTCATTCCTTTAGTGTCCATGTATTGAGCTAAGCATAATGGGAAATTTAAGGCTGTTGAACTGTCTCCCCTCAGGATGCTTATAATATAGAAATGGCAGGATGTTCCTAGTACCTTCCGACAGGAGCAAGCATAGGACCAGAACATCTCAGAGGAAAGAGAGGGTAGTATACTCCCCTCAGCCCACACATATTTCTGGACCTCCCACTATGTGCCAGGCGCTGTCCTAGGTGTTGGTCTACAGAAGACAACGAGGCAGCCCAGGGCCCTGACCGCGTGGATCGTGCTTCCTGGGGCGATATAGAAAATAATGAAGAAAAAGAGCAAATAAATAATAGAACTTCAGGTGCCATAAGTGCTATGAAGAAAGCAAAGTAGAGCAGAATGAGGACAGGGACAGTAGGGGAGAGGCCTGTGAACTCACGAAGGCCTCTGGGAAGAGGTGACACCCGGTGGGGACCTGGGTCATATGAAGGAGCAAGCAAGCAAAGGGGTTTTCCAGGCAGACAGGCCAACACGGAAAGCCCTTGAGGCAAAATGAGCCTGTCCGGAACAAAAGAAAGCCCCATGGCTAGAGCGTTGGAGAAGAGAATGGCAGGTGAGGTCACAGAGGTGGGAAGGGCCAGGCCCTGCAGACTTTCGCAGGACAAGATGAAAGTTTATTTCAAGTGAGAAGCAAATTCACTGGAGATTTTAAGCAGGGCATGGCATGCTCTGACTTACATTTCAAAAGAGTCTTCCTAGACACTGTGTGGAAATTCAACTGTGGAGGGATAAGACGATAACTGGACTGAAATTAGACATGGTGAATAGTTCAGGCTGGAGAGGACCAATGAGAAACCAATGTGGGTAGTCTCAGCAACATGATTTGATTAGAAGCCATTGTGGGAGCCCAGCTAACAGTGGCTGGTGAGGATGAGAGTGCTAATTTCTAAGGCAGTGAGAAGTGGTCTCATTTCCAGGGCAGTTTCACAAAGGAAGTGACAGGACACTTTCTGAGCTGGACTTAAGTGATGGGCAGCACATGACAGGGCAGAATCACTCGTGGATTTACTGAGTGCCTACATGTGCTTATGGGCTGGGCACTGCTGTGTGTAGGAGACCTGGTGGCATGGAAGCCCTTGCAGAAAGTGAGAAGGAAAATGCCCGGCAGGAGGTGAACAGTGTGCTCAGAGGAATTCCTTCTAGAGTTAGTCCTAAGTATGCTTTATTCTTTTTCACTTATATGGTTAAATATATGAAATTATGTGATTGGACTTATACACCTGACTCTTCTTTTTTTTTTTTGAGTTGGAGTCTCACTCTGTCACCCAGACTGGAGTGCAGTGGCCGCTCCCGGCCACCGCAGCCTCGACCTGCTGGGCTCCAGCCGTCCTTCCACCTCAGCCTTCCGAGTAGCTGGAACTACAGGCGCGCGCTACCACGCCTGGTTCAATTTTTGATTTATTATAGAGATGAGGTCTCGCCTGCCCAGGCGGGTCTCGAACCCACGGGCTCAGGCAATCCACTAACCTCAGCCTCCCAAAGGTGCGGGATTACAGGCTGAGCCACCGAACCCGGCTGACTCTTCTTAATTTGCAAAAGTGCTGTTCTTTCAGTAGAAACTCAGTTGGCTGTCAGCTTGGAAATTTCATCAGATAACTTCCTTAGGAACTGGGTCATATTTCCAGTTCCCATTCTGGGAAGGAAAAAGTATGGCCCCTCTAGAAAGGAAAAGAGAAGAAGAGTATGCAACACAGGACATACACATGCCTCCAGGTGCCTCGTTCCAGCTTATTCGCTGCTGCCTCCAGCCTTGCCCCCACAGTCTCCTTCCCGCTGGATGATCCAGTGTCAGCGTCACCTTCTCGGGTTCCCACTGTCCACACTCCAGAGTCAACTGGCCCAACATCGTCCACCACGGCCCTTCCCAGCGCTTGCAGGTTGATTTCAAATCCCTCAGCCAATGAGCCCAACCTACTTTTTCTGCTTTATCTCTGACTATCCACTCTCCAGTTGTTTTAGTAACATCGCATTTTCTTCTTCTTTTTTTATTTTTTGAATTGTGGTGAAATATACACAGCATAAAATGTACCCATCATAACTATTTCAAAGTGCACAGTTCAATGGCAACTGAGTACATTCACACTGTTGTGCAAATCCCACTGGATTTTTAGTCATGGGGTTTTCCTCATGCTTGCAGCCACTTGCTGCCTGGGCCTTACCTGTATTTATGCATTTCCTGCTGGCCTCCTGAAATGCCTTCCCTTTCCTTATCACCTAAAATCCTACATATCTGGAGAACTAGCGCTCCGATTTCACCTCTTTCTTAGGCTTCTCTTAAGCCTCATCTGGAAGCAGAAGGTCGACTTTGTTGCTAGGCAACACACACTTCCAGTGAAGGGATGCCTGGTGGCAAACCGCATCTGGACCGCAGGATCTACACGTGAACTACAAATACCTGACAGGGATGCAATACTCTGGACTTCCTGGAGTGATGACTCTTGTGATTAGTAGGGACCCTGGAGGTTAAGTCTACAGTGATGTTACGAGAGATAGTGCCTCTTATGGGACAGGAGGCTTTTAAACCAAGGACATTCCCGCACCCACCCAACATGAATCCAGTCTTCTTGAATCTGAGCTGTCACCTGAGGGCTGGGACTGAGGCCTGCACCAGTCTGAAATTTTGCGGCTTCCCTGATGGCCAACAGCGTTTCTATATTACATCCTTCTAGGTAAATCTGAAGCAAGTGTGGCCCATGGTCATCTTATAAGCCTGAACGTGCAGTGGGACTTCAGCAGACTTGCTCTTGGGGTTTACATCAGTATATAGAAATATTGCACTACATGCAAATGCTCTTGCATGCTTGGGTTTAAAAATCACGGGGCACCGTACACGGGGCTAGGGCGATGAAAGCACTGCTGACCTTTGGAAGGAGCTGGATCGCCTGCAGAATTCTTTGCCTGTGCCCGGAATTAAGGATTCCAATTTCCAACAAATCCTGATCTTCCATAACATTGCTTCCCTGAAACAAAACCAGAAATGTTGTAAGTGAAATCAAGCATTTATACCGTGGGTAAATAACAAGAATTTACTTGATACAGAGAAAAATAACCAATGAGTGACCTGATTTTTATAAACCAAGACACAGCGTCATTCTTCCTTGAGGGCAAGGTTCAGCTGACGGGAAGGCTGGGAAGCTCCCTACCCTCTAGAGTCTCTCAAGGCTTACTATTCACGGTTGGATTATCTACATTGAGATTCACTCCTGCAACTTAAAACTCTGTTTCTGTAAATTTGTGAATGCTTTCAGGAAGTGTTGTCATTTAGGATTACCAGTGACCTCTACGTTGATGTGAATAAATGTCATTTTTTTCCCCCTTGGAAAACGGAATTTTTGAGGAGGGCTGATAGGAAAATGGAAGTATATTATATTAGGCAGGCTAGAAACGAGAATGAGCAACTAATGTTAAAATACCAAATGACAGACATCTGCCCAAGACGTGGAGATAGAACAATGAACGGGATGCAGGTCTCTGCCCACAGCTGTCTTCGTTACCCTTCCCCAGTGATGGGGATGGGTTGTTCAAAGGCTGTTAGAAGGCTGTGACTGTCCGTGATGGGGGACTTGCTTGGGAGGCCGGAGGGTGTCCAGGATGTGTCTTCAGAGGAAAAGATGGGTCACGGGGTGTATGAAGGGCAGGTGGTGAGGACTTAGCCCCCAAGAGGGGAGACGATGGGGAGCTATGTGAGTGACTTGGAAGTGAGAAAGGACAGAGTGCATGCAGAAGCAGCGAGTTCTGGAACAACATGGAGGGGAGCACACGGCGAGCTGGGCAAGGAGGTAGGGGCCGGATGACGCAGATGCTGTGTGTGCTGAGGCCTCCATCCTGACCGCAGCCAGAAGCCCCAGATGGGTGTTCAGAAAATGAGCTTCAGGATGAGATTCAAAACCTTGAACATTTTGGCTTCCATGGCTAGGCCTCAGTTTCCTAACTTGTAAAATGACAAAGTTGAGCCACACAAGGTCCAAGGGCCCATTGAGTCCTGAAATTCTCAGATTGCAATAATTATTTTAAGCCTCTGATTAATATTTGAATATAAAAATTTACAGATTGCTCATTTTGTCCCTGAATTTTAACCTTTCTGAGTTTTGTGAGCTAGAACTAAACTGAGGAATCTGTACCAGTTCAAGAATTCAGACCACCATATTTTTTTTGGACAAATGCAACTGTCCTATTAACGTGTAACACAGAAACACTTAGGAATAGAAATGACAGAATTCCTATTTATGGAGCATGCCGGGCGTTCAAAGCAAAAGAGAGCATAAATTGAGAAGGGCAAGGGAGGCAGGTTGCGGCTGTGGTTGTTCTGGAGATGACATGGGCACGGACCAAGGTTGTGATCACGGAGCAAGAAGCAGCAGGCGGATGTGGAAACGGTCAGGAAGTTTGGCTGGGAGACGGAACATGGGGGACGGCGGAGAAGCGTGGAGCACACACTGGCTCTGGGCTTGGGCAGCGGGAGGATCTTGAAGCCTTTTCCCGCCACGATGGAGGAGGAGGCACAGGCCTGGTGTGGCGCAAAGTGAGACTCATGCCTCTCCCTGGACAAGGCCAGAATAGATGGGAGACCATGCTACGAGTGGACGATTGCTGTTCTGAAAAGGATTGCAGCCATCAGCATGTACTACAGCTTGGGATTTAGAATGCACATTCTACCTCCTCATCGTGTCATTCCTTCACTTCAGCTATACCGGCCATCTGGGAGGAGACAGAACTACCCAGGTATAAGCAGATGACAGCGAAAAGTCTAATGAAACACAAATAGAGTCAGTCTTGGCCATATGCCACAGGAAACATTGCCCTCTGGAAATCACTCAGTGCACACAACACAGCATGGTTAAGAATATAAATGACTTCATTTTGAGAAAGTGTTATTTCCAGAAATGGAGTCGGGTGGTGTGTGCTGCAGGATATGTGATACCATTCTGACTTTTACTCTCTGAGGGATTCTCCAAAGGAGTTACCTGGTCTTAAAAGGTCTTTGGGCATCTTTGTGTCAGAATATTACCAGGCTTTTCAGGAACTATATTATTAACATACAACTCCAGCTAATGCAAAATATAGGACCTGGTTTCTTTGCACAGATAGAAAACATAGCTACTCTCTATAGGGAATCCCAAATACTTGACTTCAGTGTTTGACAATTAAATCCATAAAGTCCACTGTTCTTCCTTGATACCCCCAGTATACAATTTTCTCTATCTTCAGTAAGAAAGGAGTCTTTTTGAAGAACTGTAGGGAAGTTAAACATTTTTAAAGATGGTGTTAAGCATATAATAACATCTTCTCCTTGGGTCAAATTTCCTAGCATGCAGGAGAGTTGGAAAGCACTTGGCAACTTTTGAAAAAATGAGTTGGGAATGGGCAAGATGGCGACAGAACTGGTGGGAGTATGAAAGTCTCTGCAAGGGCGAGTGTCCATGAAGACACTCTGCGTGGGTGGGTATGGGCAAGGGGGTGCGTGAAAGTCCATCTGAGGGCTTTCTTTGGGAGGCAGCTGTAACCCACGGCTGCCCTGAGATCAGAGTCCCTGGTGCATGGGATCATTTGCTGTTTTCAGCGGTCTCTCGGGAGGAGGCAGCAGAGATCAGCTGCTCCTCAGCACCTAGCACGTGGCCCACATCACCACTTGTGGCAGTGCGCCAGTCACTAGCAGTGGGAACTGTGGAGCAGGCATGGAGAAGAAATCTGGAGCTGAGCCCCACTGGCGGTGAGAAGACACTGACCATTTTCTCTGCCCCAGGACTAGGCAGAGACCTGTGTTGGACAGCCTAGCTCTGTTCAGCCCCCAACCTGAGATCCAGAGGTGATCTCCACACCTCTCTGGGATTGACCATCACCGACCCAGAGAGGAAACTTCAGGAGTGGCCATGGAGAGACAGACACCCCACCCCACGCTGGACCAGGCACAGACACATCTGATCTGAGTGGGAGACTTGGCAGCAGCAGTGACTGCAGAAAGTTGGGTGAGTCTGGATCAGATTCACCCTCCTCCCACAGCAGTCCATGGGGCAACTGACCCATGCTAAGAGCAACCAGATCAGCCTGCACCAAGAGTGGAGGGGAGTGGCTGGAGATAGGCGCCCACTGTCTACTGGGGCTGCTTTGGGGGTGCTTGGGAAAGGAACTTGAAGTTCCAGAAATGGCCACACAGGGATTTTTCTTTCTTTATTTCTATTTTTATACTTGTTTCTGTTATTTTTGTTGTTTTTTAGTGTTTCTGTTTGCGTGTGGGTATTTTTGAGGGTGAATGCATCATCAGAGTTTTTTTGTCCATATGTTTGTTTGTGTGCTTTTGTTTGTTTGTTTATTTGTGAGTTGGTATGCCTGTATGCTTTCCTTCTTCTCACACATCACCTTCATCTCCCTGCTTCCTTTTCCCATTCTTTTCCTTTTTGTTATCTCACTTTGCTTTCAGAGTGTATACAGATGCCCCCACCACATGGACAGATTATAAGGTGGTGGGAAGTGGATTCCAGGGGCCCCACACACCTGCCAGTGGACACTGGGATCTGCAGATAGCTTCTGAACCACAGCTCCCCTCCCATCCCACCTTAAAGACATCTTGAAGCTGCAAAAAGCACAGTGCCCGTCCACATTCTGACTTCAAAACTGAACAAATCCAGAGACTCTACATGAGGAAGGACAGGAGAGGGGCAAACAGAAGTGAAAGCTCTCCGCCATTCACTGGGCAACAGAATTGAAGAAGGAGGAGGAAGGCAAGGAAAGTCATCACAAGTGAAGAAGTGCCAAAGGAGGACGACAGGCGGCATCCAGAACACCGGGGAGACAGTCCCTGAGAATACAGCCTTTGGAACTCAAACAGTGAAGAGTCCCAAGAATGACTGGTCTCAAACCACAAACCCAGATATAAAGATACTAATAGAGAGAATGAATAGAAGAGAGGAGAGGCAAGAGGAAAGAATGATGGTGCTTATAACTGAGATAACAGCAATAAAGAACACAGTAAATGAAATAAATAACAAACGGACAAGCATGGAAAGCAAATTTAACCAAGTAGAACCAAGAATCCCAGAACTTGAGGACCAAAATATGGAACTAACCCCAAACCGTTGAAAACATAGAAAAGAAGCTTGAAAAGACAGAACAAAGCCTCCAAGATATGTGCAATTATATCAAGAAGCTGAACCTTCTATTAATTGGCATTCCTGAGGCAGATAGAGAGACAGAGACCACCTTGGAACAAACATTTCATGAAATTATTCAAGAAAACTTCCCTCATCTCATCAGAGACATGATCCTTTAAATACAAGAGATTTAGGAAATGCCTGCAAGACATCAAATGAGAAGACCAACTCAGAGACACATAGTAATTTGCTTACACAAAGTAGGCATAAAAGAAAAAAATTCTAAAGACAGCAAGAGAGAAAGTTCAGACTACCTAGCAGGAAAGACCAATTAGAATAACAGCAGACTTATCTACAGAAAAACTATGGGCTAGAAGAGATTGGAGTCCAGTCTTTAAAGTTCTCAAAGGTAAACAATTCCAATCAAGAATTTCCTACCCAGCTAAGCTAAGCTTCATCAATGATGGAGAATTAAAATCCTTCCCAGACATTCAATTCCTAAGAGTTTACACCACCTCCAGACCAGCTCTACAAGAAACACTTAAGAAAATATTTAACACAGAAGAAAGAAAAAAAAAATAATGACCACACTCTTCCAAAGAATGTAGGAAAAAGATTAGAAACACTTATATAGCAATCCCCAAACCAAAAGAAAACCAACGAACCAACAAACTACAACAACAAACTCTATAAGAACTTCATGACAGGAATAAACTCTCACATCTCAATAATTAGCCTGTACGTGAATGGACTAAATGTACCACTGGAAAGATGTAAAATGGAAAATTGGATTAAAAAAATGATGATGACATGTTGTCTCCAGAAGACTAATCACACCAGAATGGACACTAACAGACTCAAAGTAAGAGGAT